AAAAAAAAAAGAAATGTACAGGATACTGTGATTCATCAGATTCCAAGGGGAAGGGTTTTGTAAAGGAATTTTCTCACGGCTGTGTGTCTGAGCTGGGGTATTACAAACACTTCATCCGGCTGTCATGGGTTAGATGAAGCTGTCGTCTGAATGGTTACCCACTTGGGAGATTCATTCATTCTCCTCATTATTTTAAAAATCTCGTGTTTAAAAAAAAAAAACAACTGTTCTTTTGCAGTGAGACTGCTGCCCAGTCTCTCTCACTGGAGAAAGGCGGCCACTGGGGTACAAAGAGGTGACTTTGGTGGCACCCCAGAGCAGGGCTTCTCAGGCTCATTGTGGGGGGGAGTCACCCCGAGACTGAAGTCTCTGTTCAGAGGCTGGGGTGGGAAAGAGTTGGGGTGCAGTGGAGGCGATATTGACTTGAGGGCTGGGTCCCAGGGAGATCATGAGGCTGGGAGGTCAGGTCTGGGATGGTTTCTGGTCTGCTCCTCTGCTGACCAGAGGCTGAAGGGGTCGGGGTGAAGGGCGAGTTGTGACGTGGTTGCACTACCTCAGGGGGGTCTGGGGAGCACGGGGGAGGGGAAGGAGGCAGGGGCCCGCGGGGGGAAATGGGGGGGGGCTGAGCGGGGCTCTTGGGGAGGAGGAGGGGCCTGCCGGGTGGGCCAGGTGTAGCTGGGGTGGGGGGGACAGGGAAGGCAGCCGCTTGCTGCCTGGCACAGGGGGATTGCTGAGCTCCTTCCAAGCTGTGGAGCTATGGCTGCGTGGAACAGAGGGGTTGGGCAGGAACAGAGCAACAGCAACCCTGAGGACCCTTTCTCTAGTCGAGGCAAGTTTAGAGAATTAAGGGAGCTCTGAGAATCCCACAGCCTGGGGCTCCTAGGAGAATTCTCTAGAAAGGAATAAGCTCTCTGGGAGGCAGAGGGAGAATTCCCTGGCATGGGAGGGACTTGCAGGACCCACGTGAGTCTCTAGCATGTGGCCCAGTAGTGGCCATTTGGCTCCACGTCCCTGCACACGTGAGCTGAGAGCGCAGGTCAGGAAGGGGTGGGCAATGCCCTCTGTAATTTGGGGTGCTCAGGGAACAGGAGGCAGTGTGACCGACCCATCCTTGCCTTCCCTCCAGCCTTTCCGAGGGGTCCTCTCCAGGCCCAACCTTCACCCTCTGAAGCGAGGGGTCAGGACTGCAGGGACTTTGGAGAGGAGTTAGCTCTCAGTTCACAGATGGTGAAGGAGGGGCTCAGAGAAATTACTGATCTACCAGGTTGCCCATCCAGTGAGGGGCAGCGCCATAGGCCAGGCCGCCTCCTGCACCTGTTTTCTGCACCTCCAAGTAGAAAGCAAAAGGGGAACTTATTTTGAAATAGGCATAGTTCAAGGAAGGGAGTGCTGCCGCATAGAAATGGTCTCCAGGCGCAAGCCGAACCTGAATCCTCTTCTCCTTGGATAACCATTTTTGGTGGAGGTTGGTCTGAAGCTTTCCCACTGTAGTTGCTCTCTGACTGACTGCAGAGCAGATGTGGTTTTCTTAGGCGGGCAGCCTGGTGGATCATGACAGCAGTAAGCCTGACACAGTCTTAGCACTGTACACTTTACAGAGTCTGTTCCGTCCACCCCGCCAGGTGGTCAGGCAGGGCCTGTTGTGGGGTAAGGAGACCCCTGAGCGTGAAGCTCTGTCCCTGGCCTGGTGTGGCAGCCCAGGCTGGTTGTGGCCAGGGCCAGAGATGGGCCTGTGGCCCCAGGGCAGCTTGCCTTGTCGGGAGCCTCTGGTTGGGAGTCGTGGACACTGGTAGGTATGGGGCCCAGACATGCGACTCCTCAATGTGCAGCTATTCCCTTGACCTCCAGGACCCAGAGCCCCATAAGGCCAGAGACCCTCGGCCTTGGTGACTGCTGTATCTGGACCCCGCGTGAGCTTTGGCAAAGTGCAACTGCTCAATGAGGATGCGTGAGGTACACCCTGACCTTGTCGACTAGCTTCCTATACCATGAACTTGGGGCCGGGCAGATTTCCAAGGCTATACAGTCCCCAAAGGGAGGTGGCCTCTGGGCTGGTAGAAGTTCCTGGACCTCAGGCCAAGACTGGCTTTCAGACTCAGCGTGGTCTGTGTGATTTGCTTTGACTCAACATAAATTGGCAGCTCTTTGGACTATCAGGTATTTAATAAGTGGCCTGAGGCCATGCGGATACTGACCGCTCAGGTGGGAATGGCCTATCATGCCCAAGCAGAAGTGCAAGAGATGTCCCATGGGATTTTGAAGTCGCCCACTTGCCGCATGAATGGTGTAGGCAGTCGGGGCTACCCAGACCCGAGAACACAATGAGGTGTTAATTGCTGGAACCAGCCATCAGAGGAGCTTGTGAAATCTGCATTCGATGACCAGTATCAAGACACAACTAACCTACTAACAAATTCATTATTCAGCGGGCCTTTGCTGAGTGCCCAGGCTTGCAGGAACTTTCTGCTGGGGGTGGTGGGTCAGCATTGATCAGCCCTGATCACACAGAATTAGAGAAGAATATGGTGTAACTGAGAGTCCCCAGAAAATTCACGTCAGAGTTAACCTCTCTTATTGTCTATTAAACCATCTTGTTCGAATATCTAAAATTGACTTCCCTGCATTTTTCACCTATTCAGAAAACATTATACTTTTCTAGGAGAACATTTTCTTTCTGTAGGTCTAGAAATGAAGAACTCTTCTGCCTCCCTACCCACATCTCAACTACAAACTTCTGCCTAAACCACACCCTTCAGAGGAGGGGTCTGGCCTCCCCTGGTGGGACCTCAGGGAACCAAGGTGGGGAGGGTGTGAGCTGGCCTCCGGGAATGGGAGGGGCCGGGCCTGGAAATGGGCCTCATAGGAGCTGGAGAAGCGGGAGAAGCTAGAACCTGGTCCAGCCCCAAATGGGACCCAGTCAGGGTCAAAGACTGTGGCCATTAGCAACAAGCACCAGGAAATCAGATGTGGTTTGGATGTTCGGGTCCATATCCAAGGTTACCTGTGGCAGGAAGCGGTCAGGTCTGTGGTCCCAGCAGCCTGCGGAAGCCAGCTGGGGACTATAGACAGCTAGGGGAGCCTCCAGGAGGCTAAGGATGGAGGAACAGACTCTCAGTGCCCAAGAAGGCCTTTGTGCCACTGTACCGAGCTTGCAAAACAGATGTCTGGTCCCCACAGCTGCCCTTTCCCCTTCCCGTAGCTTCCTCGTGGGACCTGGGTACTGGTACTGGCAGGTGGGTTGGCTGAGGGGGTGCGTGTGGATCCCTGCAGCACCACGTGTAAGGCAGTGTGATGACTCGGGTCAGCGCAGGACTGCTGCATGGCCCCTGGGACCTTCCACACAACCTGCAGCTTTCATACGCTCCTGGCTAGTGGGTCTGGGATTTGTACGCTCTCCTGCCCCGCTAATCAGCACAGCAGCTAAGGGTAACTAATAGGTCCTCAGTAAGTGGTGGTTGAACAAATGAGTGAGTGAGTGAATGAATGAATGAATGAATGAATTGGGTAGCAGAGGGACTGCTCAGGCCACACAGGTGGACGGGATTGGCCAGTTTAGCTGTGGTGTGAAGCAGGCGGGGAGAACAGCCCCTCAACTCAACCAGCTTTCCAGGCGCGGGCCTCACCCTCCTGTGGTAAGTGGGGCAGGATCTGCTCCAGGGACCTAAATACCCCATCGAGGGCAGAGGCTCGCCGGGGCCCTCCCTGGACACCATGCAGCCCGGGGTTTGATTTTCGTTACCGCCTTGTGCCCCCCTTCTCCATCCCTCCTCCTGAGCACGTGCCTTCCTCATTGTCCTTCTCTCCTCCTCGGGGCACAGATCCTGGCCAACGTCTTTCTCTACCTGTGCACCATCACCGTGGGCATCATGTCCTACTACATGGCGGACCGCAAGCACCGCAAGGCCTTCCTGGAGGCCCGCCAGTCGCTGGAGGTGAAGATGAACCTGGAAGAGCAGAGCCAGCAGCAGGTGAGGCTCTTTCAGGGTGGCCCCAGGGCAGTCTGGGCCCCGGGCCGGGGGCCGTGGCTAGAGAGGGGCTGGGGTTGTGGGGGCCAGTGCGGCAGCCCCCCCGGGTTTGGAGTTCACTGCCAGGGTCAGGTGTTGGCTGTCTGCTGGGCCTCTCGCCCTCAGAGGGCTCCTCCTGACTTCAGGGAGCTTCTCTCGCCGGAAACTCCCTCCTCTCTCTTCCTCTGTGCTTGACCTAAACCTCCCCTCCTTCTGTTTTGTTTTGTTTCCCCCTGTAATTTAAAACTTTTTAAAGAACTACGCTGATCCAAGCAGTCACCAATAACTCCCTGTGTTCCTCTCTCAGGCTAAAAAGTTCTGTGTGTTTATTTTGAATGCTTTTTCCCCGCGGGCATCACTTCAGGTCCACCCTCCTCTGCCCACCTTTCTGGTTCTGCGGCCCACTGGCCCTGCGCACCTGCCACGGGCCCGGTGCTGGGTCTCTGCAGCCGCGGTGGGCCCAGCCGTAGCGGGGGCCTTCCCGGTGAGGACCCCCCAGCCCGCTCCCCTCCACCCAAGGTGCTAAGTTTCCTTCACGCTCGGGTCAGGTTCCTACTTCCTTCTCCTTCTAAGTCATTGATGAAGAAGTAAAACCAGCCCAAACCCCGGGGACCCCGCTGTTTACATTTTTCCACGGACAGAAGTGCGTACTGTCCCTGCTGTTTACTGGCTTTATTCCAGCCCGATCCACCCGGTTCTCATGTGATTCAGTCTTTTAAATAGTTTCTGGTTTGGATTCATCTCAAATGCCTTTCAAAGGTCTGTAGAAATTACATCTGCCAACTTCCTGTTATCCATAGGTTTATTTCCCCCTAACAAACAAACTCAATAGGTTGAAAATACAGGATTCTCTGTGCTGGGAACCATGTCATTTTGGGTTCAGGTGCTGCTCTTGGCTCTGGATTCACTGAAATTGCTGTTTTCACAGACCCACTCAGGTGAACAGAGCCATAGTTTTGGGGGGCCACTCTAGAAGGCCTGCCAAGGAGCCCCATTGGCAGGCCTCACCTTCTCTAGACGGTGCTCTTCAAAGGGTCACACTGAGTCATTTGCTGAGTCCTGAGGATGTGTTTTCTCTGTTTACCAAGGAGAGCTAGAAGCTTCTGAGCTGGGCCTTGGACCCAGCTTCTTCAGAAAGCAGGTTTTAGAAGGGGAAACTTCCCAGCCTCCGTTGCCACAAAGGGCCAAGTTCAAGCTTAGCGGCTCATTGTATTTGTCTCCTTTTCCCCATCCCTGTATCCCGTGGTTACCCAGGAGCTGCTCCTGCTTGAATGTATGTAAAGAATCCCACTTTACTCGCTTTATAGAGTCTCTTGAAAGGTGTTCTTCAGTTTCTGTTTTTTTATGCTGTCTTGTTTCTCTTTGCATCTCACGTCTCCCACTGTGGAGGCATCCCTCTGGGTTCTCTACGTTAAAAAATGCCTGTGTCCCTGCTCAGCTAGGTCAGGAGTTCTTTTTTTCTCTAGTATTTGTGCAGTTTTCAGCATCCGTGTCAACCTTGTCTGTCTCACAGCATATAATTGGCATAACCCAGGACATCTTCTGTCACATCGACAGTGCTTGGGGTAGGGGCCTCCTGGAGTGGTGGGGAAGGTCCTGCGTCTCCCCTGGATCTCTTATTCTCTGCATAGATAATTTAGACAAGCTGCCCACCTCTCCCAGCCTCGCCTTCCTCGTCTGCAAAGCAGGAGTACTGAACTTGGCTTGTGGGGTTCCCTGCAGGTAGAAACACAGGCGGAAGGGCTTTGTAGACTGTAGAGCTTGGACATGCTGATGATCAGGCTGCGTGCACAGGCCACGCAGGGCTTGGGCATTTTCTGATGCCCCCTCCGGGCAGGGTCAGCATGGGGAGCCCCCATCCTGGCGGAGAGGGCCCCTGCGGTGTGCTCCAGGACGCTCGTGTGCTACGTCGCCGCCAGGGGGCGCTGCACCCTGTCCGGGGCACCCTGCGGCTCCACGGTGGGGCCTGCCCAGGGCCGCAGCAGCAGAGCGGACTGGCTCCAGGGGCGAGAGGTCCAGGGAGGCAGAAGGGAGGTGCTGGGGGCAGGAGAGGCACAAATGTACATCCCCGGGCCGAGCTGGGACACCGCAGGTGCCTGTAAATACCCATCATGTGGAATGCATTTGTCTCGCCCAGCTCTAGCCTGAGTGTGACCTTGGGACAGCATCTTCACCTCTTTGGGCCTCACTCAGTTTCCCTATGTGTAAAGTGTACCTGAGAATAAAACCTTTGGCGAAAATGGAATAATATGAGTGAATCCCTTTGGAAAGGAGAAAAGCCCTGTTACCAACAGGAGGGGCGGAATTCTGCAGCCCACCAGCACCACTGTGCCCTGCAGTTTGCTCGTGTTTTCCTTAGGACTCTGGTGACTGTGTGCGTGAGGGGGATCTGCTTGCATTTTTACTTTCTTCCCATGTCCTTGGCAGGTTTGGGCATCGTGGTTGTGCTGGACTTAGGAACTAATTTGAGAAGTGTTTCCTTTTTCTAACCCGGGAGAGCTTGAAGAACACACAGGTTCTTTACAGGATTAGAAGGACTCCCTAATGAGGCCCTAGGGCTCAGGAGTTTTCTTTATGAGATTCAGTTTCCTTCACAAGTACAAGGTTTTTGGTTTTTTGGTTTTTTTGTATAAGTTATAGAACGTTTTTGTTTTTTCAGGAACTTATCCATTTCATATAAATGTCACATTTTTTACATGTTTATACTCTTTTTATCTTGTTTGTGGGATTTGTGGCAATATTCCTTTTTCTTTTTCTTTTTTTAAAGATTTTTATTTATTTATTTGACAGAGAGAGACACAGCGAGAGAGGGAACACAAGCTGGGGGAGTGGGAGAGGGAGAAGCAGGCTTCCCGCCGAGCAGGGA